GAGTTACGGGCTACAGCAGCCTACCTAAACCGACAGTGACGATGGTGAGGGAGTTACGGGCTACAGCAGCCTACCTAAACCGACAGTGACGATGGTGAGAGAGTTACGGGCTACAGCAGCCTACCTAAACCGACAGTGATCCCCATACGGAGGGAGTGCTAAGTGGTGAGGGAGCTCTACTAAGGCTAGTCTCTACAGCTGCTCCAACAGAGACACATGAAACCACTTCCAGGGAGCGGGTTGTTCTGTTTTGGGTGATGGTGTCTCATGTAGCCCAAGCTGTCCTCAAACTCTCCATCTTGCTACTGCCTCCCAAGAACTCTAATTACAGTTACGTATCACCCATGCCTGCGTTTGGTGTGTCTTTGAATGCTTGATGAATGCCTGAGTCATCTTTCAACTGGGTTCAAATACTGCTGCCTCAGTAAATACTTCCTTGTTAGCCCCAGAAAGCTGTCTTGTCCTCTGTGCTTTCAGGGCGCACATTCATTTATTCATCCACACTTCCTCAGCCTCACTCCCTTGTGAGGGCACTGCGGCATAGAGCAGAGGCTCCCAGTCCAGGGCCCCTGACTGGCTATCTCTCCTTTCCTCATTCACAGGTTCACAGTGAGCCAACGAGTGTGAGAGGCAGCACAGTGTCCTGTCTTGTGCAAGTATGTGTATAAGGTGGATGTCGCCACGTGGTAACGAGATAACTGCTGTAAGGAGTAAGTGGTTCTCGGGGAACTGCCAGCCAGGGTCAGTGTGCAGGCTGAGTAGAGGCCTGACTGACTGCACACTGAGGCGCACGCAGCCCTTACCCTTTTCAGCTCACGAGGAGGATCTGAAGTAGCTGGCCTCGGCAGCCTGCCTTCCTTTGCTTGTGCACCCCTGAAGTCTCCAGTGGAGCATCAGCTCCTCCGTGTGGCATGTACGCTTTGCACCCTCCACTGGGCTGCACGGCTTGAATATTGCTTTTACCAAGAGTGTGGGAAATGCTCCTCACACTTCTCTGTCTCCTTCCAATGACACTGTCCCACACCCCCACACAGCCTCTTTCACTGTCTGTGTGTGAGGCAGGTCTCATCACACATCCCTGGGTGGCCTGAAACTCATGAATGGACCTGCAGTAGTCCATCCTCTTCTGTCTCCTGAGTGTGCGCTTCTAATGCCAGCACTCTGGAGGCAGGGCAGAGGCAGGCAGATCTGGGAGTTCAAGGCCAGCCTACATGGAAAGTTCCAGGACAGCCAAGGCTACATGTTCATTCATGAACCGTGCATATGCTTGGTGCTGAGGCAGCCAGAAGAGGACATCGGGCAGTTATAGGCAGCTGCCACTGGAGTGCTAAAAACGGAACACAGGTCCTCTGCAAGAGCAGTTCTTTTGCGCACTGAGCAACCTCTCTAGGCCCCAGCTATACTATTTTTTGTTTTTACACTTACTATAAACCACATCTTTCATTTATTTCTTTTACTTGTCTTACCTACTGAAGTACAAGCTCCTCCCCTAACCTGCCTGGTTCCTGTTATACCAGCATATGCCTGGCATACAGCAGGAACTCAGTACCCACTGAACAAATCAAGATACCCTGAAGTACACATTAAAATTTAAATAAATGATTCAATAAAGATCCTTAACATTTTTCTCAGAATACATCTCTGAAATGATAAAGACAACTAGTGAAAAAAACTATTTCCTAAATCTAATATTTCTGTGCATTTACTTAATCTGTACAGGAAAACTAGCAACTATTAGTTTTGATTATCCATAACAAATTCACTGTAGTACTTATTTTATAGCAGTGATCGTGCTGAGCACTATCCTGTGGAAATCCCTGGCTACAAACTGAAACCAAGACTGGCCTATCATTAGAAACATGAAATCTGCCCTCAAGTCCCTATTCTTCGATCCCTAAGCACTGTCAGCTGATTATCTTTTCTCCAGGCCAAGAATGTAATCCCAGTACTCTGGGAGGCAGAAGGAGGCAGAAGCAGGCAGAGCTCTGTGAGTTTGAGCCTGGTCTACAAAGTGAGTCCAGGACAGCCAAGGCCACACAGAGAAACCCTGTCTTGAAGAAACAAAACAAAAGAGGAAGAGAGCGATCCCCCCCTTTTTTCACAGGACTGTGCACCAGAAGGAACGGTGCTGCACAAGGCTAAGACGCTCAGGCCTGGTTTTGTGTAGGCTATAACCACTCACCTAGGTAGCCTTGGGTCTTCTTCTGTAGTGCAGTAACTGGGCAGTCCTTATGAGCGAGCAGCAGCTGTTTCAACTGAGCCACCTCATTGCGTAGTAATGTGACTTCATTCTGAAGGGGAAGAAAGAAGAGATTAAGGAAATTCACTAAAAAAAAAAAAAAAAAAAAAAAAAAAAAAAAAAAAAAAGAGCCAGGCACGTAGTGCCACAAGCCTTTAATCCCAGCTGGCCCACAAAATGAAGTTCCAGGGCAGCCAGGACTGTTACACAAAGAAACTCTGTCTGTTACATCAACACACTACAGCAAACCGTGTATCGTAACGGTAACTTTGGAGCTGTTCTAATGGTGAGCACAGGCAGAGCCTGTCTAGATTTTCCTCCCCAAATTGGGACATGATCTGGCACGTCTTCTCAGGGCCAGGACAGTCATAAAGTCAAGAGAAGAAAGTGCCTACAGTGAAAAGCAAGGAAAAGACAAATGGCTGTCCCCAGGGATGAATCTGAGTCCACAAACTAATAATGTAAGATTCTTTGATCAAGAAGAAAGTGCTTCTAGAAATCTGTTTTTGTTGTTTGTTTTGACAATGTCTCACTCTCTAGCCCTGCTGGCCTAGAGTTTTCTATGCAGACCAGACTGGCTTGGAACTCCCAGAGGTTTGTCTGCCTCCATCTCCCAAGTGCTCAGGGTCTCCTCCTGCTACCTGCTGCTAGATGGAGAACTCTCAGCAACTTCTCCAGCACCAAATCTGCCTGTGTACCGCCCCGCTTTCCACCATGATGATAATGAACAGGAGCTCTGAAACCTGTAAGCCGGCACCAATTAAAATGTTTTTCTGGGCTGGAGAGATGGCTCAGCGGTTAAGAGTACTGTCTGCTCTTCCTAAATGGACCTGGGTTCAAGTACCAGCACCCACATGGCAGCTCACAAGTGTCTGTAACTCCTATTCCAGGGGATCGGACCCCCTCATACATGCAGACAAAACACCAGTATACATAAAATAAAAATAAATATTAAAATGTTTTTCTTTGTAATAACTGCCATGCTCTTAATCACAGCATTCAGCGGGCAGATCTCTGTGAGTTCAAGGCCAGTCTTGTTTACAGAGTGAGTTCCAGGCCAGCCAGGGCTACACAGAGAAACCCTGTCTCAAAAAAAAAAAAAAAAAAAAGGGGGGAGTTGCTGTGGTCAAGGTGTCTCTTCACAGAATAGACACCCCAACACTGACCACTGCTTGAGGAAACACTTTTCCGCTGGGTGTTCTCTAACTCCAGTCAGGTTCCCCCAGTGATTTGATGGGTCTATGTCTCTCCTCCTGCCTCTTCTCCATCCCCCGACTGCGGAGCATTCTCAGTTACCCTCCAGGCCCCAAATGTGCTAGTGGCCAACCTGGAAGGACACAGTCTCATTCTCAGTTGATGGGGGGCTCCATTTCTGACTATTACGGGACTCTGTCCACTTCCTGTCACACTTCTGGATCTAACCTAATTAAACAATCCCGTGCTCTGCTCAGCGGCTGCACTGTTTCTGATCCCGCAATCCCAACTGTCACCCAGCAGTACTCACACTCAGCTGAATGTTCTGAGAAGTAAGCTCTTCTGCCTTCTTTTCCAGGGAGGACACCCACAGCTTCCGCTTTTGGCGGCACCGGGAGGCTGCAGCTCGGTTTCGCTCTAAAAACCGTTGCCGACGCTCATCTGGATCTTCATCCACTGTTCGCCGTCGCCGTCCCCCAGTGCTAGGGGTGGGCTGGGCTGGAGAGACCTGTTGCCCAGAAGAAAGAACACTTTCTGGTTTTCTCCCTTCACCCCAGACAGGGTTTCTGTGTTTGGTCCTGGCCATCCTGGAGATGCGCCCGCCCCTGCCTCCCAAGTGCTGGGTTTACAGCTGTGCACTGCCACCACCCTGCTGAGGGACACTTTCTTCTTTCTCTTTTTCTGTTTCATCTTCCAACAGTCTTTCTTTCTAAATAGCCCAGGTGGACCCTGACGTTTGGTCCTTCTGTTTAGGCATCCAGAGTGCTGCGATTCACAGCACGAACTTCGAGCTTTGTCATTTGGCAGAGCAGAGGAGTGCTTGATAGGAAAATAATTTTTTTCTTTCCCAAATCAAACCCAAGTTAGGTAGATTAGTAAGATCTGGTAGAGATCTGGTAATCACATCAAGTCCCATCACCATGTGTGTGCCCTTCTTATCCTGCCTTCCATCTTCTCCCAGTGCCGCCAGTACCAAATACATTTAAGCCACGCTTCTGTTGGAAACATTATTTCAGAAACACAGAAATGAAATTAGGATCACTTGAGGTGTTTTTTTTTTTTTTTTTTTTTTTTTTTTTTGGTGGGGGGGGGTTGGCTGGGAACTGGACCTAGGGTTTGAGCTACAAAGCCAGTATATTTTTGTTGGTTGGCACAGGATGTCCTTGACACATGGACATCCTCCACTCACTGTGGAGTGGAGGATAACCTTAAACTCCTGCTCCTCCTGGCTCTATCCCCCAAATGCTGGAACTTTTGAGACTGTGACTCTTCCTGTCTTATCCTAAGGATAAGCTCTGGATTAGCAGCCTGTGCCATAAGGCCCAGCTACTTGGTCTCTCCCTCCTTTCCTTTGGTTTTAATTTAGACTTATTTCCTGCGTGTGAGTGTTTACTTCGTGTGCTCCGTGTGGGACTAGTGCCCAGAGGTCAGAAGGTGGTATCCAATCTCCTGGAAATGAAGTTAAGGATGGCTGCGAGCCACCATGTAGGTACTGGGAACTGAACTCAGGTCCTCTGCAAGAACGTAACTGCTTCTGATGGCTGAGCCACCTCTCTAGTCTCCTAAGACAGGATCTTATTTCATAGCCCAGTTTAACCCAGAACCCACTCTGGAGTCCAGGCTAGTCTGGAACTGCCCTTAGAACGTCTCCCTCAAGCTCCTGAGCACAGGAACCAGGTAGGAGGCGCTACACCCAGTGCTTTCTGTTTCCTTCTGGCACGGAGTCTCGTAGGCAAGGAAATCAGAGCCAAGGGAGAGTGACGGGGCGCTGTCAGGGAGTCACCAACTTGGACAGTCAATATGTACAATTACATGCTATAACAGGTTTCAGAAAAGGAAAAAATGCCTTTCTTCATTTAACTCCCAGTGAGAGACAAGCTGTTATGGGAGACAGGACTTCATTACACTAGAACTCTGCACGCTCAGCAAGGCTGTTCCGTTTATGTCCCCACCTCTCCCTCTAGGCAGGGTCTCTGTGCAGCTGTGGCCGTCCTGGAACTTTCTAGGTACACCAGGCTAACCTCCAACTCACAGAGACCTACCCGTCTCTGCCTCCCCAGTGCAAGGACTAGAGGCGTGCGCCACCATGTCCACCCATCCAGGGATTCATTCTTCTCTTCTGTATTCACTCTCTCCTGTCTTGTTTAAGAAAAGATCTCACAGACTAGGTCAGCTTCAAACTCAGTGCATAGCTGAGGATGACCTTCGATGCCTGACCTCTTGTATCTACTTTCAGGCCCTGGGAGTCTAGGCATGTATGACATCTGGTTTTATTCTTTTTTATTTATAATTAGTAATTAACTGTCCTTGGCAAAGCTTTCACCGCTGTTGCCTGCAAGCAGAAAAAACATTTTAAATTCTTTGCACACAAGACAGAATGTCCTTGTCCTTGTTTAAAGGTAGCATCTGCTATGGCGGACAGGCTGGCCTCCACCTCTTGCTCCTCCCGCATCAGCCTTGCGCGTACAGGGGTTTGCATCACCCACTTTGTCTTTATTCACCCTTTGAGACAGAGCCTGGCTATGTAGCCTGACTGGCCCCGAGCTGAGGTAATCCTCCTGCCGCAGCCCTCATCTTGATTTTTTTTTGTTTTTGTTTTTTTGTTTTTTTCTTTTTCTTTTTTTTTTTTTTCAAAACAGGCTTTATCTGTGTAACAGAGCCCTGGAAGTCCAAAACTTGTTCTAAAGACCGTCTTGCTTCAAACTCACTGAAATCCACCTGCCTCTGAGTGCTGGGTTAAAGGCATGTACCACCATGACTGGTGTCTTCTATTTCTTAAGTCACATGTGAAACCCTCTGCACGAATGCACTTTGATGATGTACCTACTGTTCTATCAGTTGGCATATGTACAGGGAAGGCAGATCAACGTCACGACAGTGGCCAAAATCAACCAAATGCAGAAAGGTCTACCTTCCTGGGGACAAAACTAACATAAAACAATACCAAAAGTAAATTCTTTTTAAAGTAAAGCCATATATTATTATCATCATCGTATGTGTGTGCATGTGTGTACGCCATGGCCTGTTTGGAGGTCAGAGTGCAAGCTTATGGAGCCAGTCTTCTCCTTCCAGCTTCCTGTGAGGTCAGAAGATGGGCCCCAGGTTATCAGGTTTGGTGCTAAGGATCTCTATTCCCTGACCCATCCTGTTGGCCTCTAAATTACTTTTTTAATTTGAGTATCTGTTAGTAGTTTCCCAATGCTAGTACTCAGTTGCATAAAGACAAGAAGAAGCTACAAAAAAAAAAGGAAAAAACAAAAACAAACAAACAAACAAAAAACCAGGTAATGAGTTTTAGGACAGCTAGGGCTAAGTAATGAGACCCTATCTCAAAAAACACACCAAAAAAAGGAGATCTATGTTAGCTCTGCTCAACTATGTCCTCCAGGAGTATCAGGAATGAAAACAGGATTTTATTTATTTAGACTAGTATTATCTCTTGAAAGAAAAAAATTAGGGATTTTCTTCTTTCTCTCTCTCTCTTTTTTTGAGACAGGGTTTCTCTGTGTAGCCTTGTCTGTCCTATACTCACTTTGTAGACCAGGCTGGTCTCAAACTCACAAGAGATTCGCCTGCCTCTGCCTCCCTGAGTGCTGGGATTACAGGTGTGTGCCACAACACCTGGATAATTAGGGAATTTCTAACTCATATAATTAACTAAAAATCCTGCTTGGATCCTAGTACTAGAGAAGAGACTTTCCTCAGGAAATCCAGCTGGTCATGGCACATGCCTTAAATTTAGTCAAGAGACTAAAGCAGCGGGATTGTGTGTTTGAGGCCTCTCAAAAACAAATGAGAAAAGGGATGAAGAAAGAAAGAAAAGAGCTCAGTAGTGGCTGACAATGTGTTGCAGCATTTCTCCAAGAGGAAAAGCAGCCTGGCTCAGGCGAGGGCCGACGCTTTGCCATCTCCAGTACTGGCTGGCTTTGGGGAGGGAGGGGTTCAGAACGGTGGGAAGCCTTTGCACCCAAGAAAACACAAATTGAAGCTCGTGCTACTGGCCAAGGTTTTAAGGCAGCATATGGCCATGAAATGTCTGGACATGTGGCAGGAGCCAATGAAGCAGGTGGTGACATCAGGAAAAAAAGAGACCAGGCAATGAATGTAACTCTAGAAACCAATCTCAGGTCACTGTCACCTGTCCAGTGAAGACAATTATGAAAACTGACGATGCTCATTTCCTACAGAATCACATTAAAATGAAGACCCGGTTGAGAAGAGATTAGGCAACTAAATGGAACCTCCTCTGGATTTAAAAAATTTTTGATTTTCATTTCTCTTTGATAAAAAGGGACTAGAAGTTTGTGTTTCCATACTTTTTAATGAACCATCTATTTTACTACTATAACATTATATTGTACTAATATTCTTTTCTTTTTTTTTTTTTGGTTATTTGAAACAGGGTTTCTCTGTGTAGCCTGTACAGAGCTGTCCTGGAACTTACTCTGTAGACAAGACCAGGCTGGCTTTGAACTCACAGAGATCCACCTGCCTCTGCCTCTTGAGTGCCAGGATTAAAGGCGTGCGCCACCAATGCCCCGCTAATAGTCTTTTTAAAATTTATGTACATGGGTGTTTTGTCTACATGTACACTTACACAACAGAAGGTACAGAGTCCCAAGGGACTACAGTTATAGACAGTAGTGAGCTGTGATGTTGGTGCTGGGAATGGGACTCAGGACCTCTGGAAGAGCATCCAATGTTCTTAACTGCTGAGCCATCTTTCCAGCCCTACTATCAATATATTCATAAAATGAGCTTTATGTTATAAAATCTAATCAAGTGACTGATAACCTCTTTGTTAAAACTTAAAAGATAAGCAAGAGATACAGAGGTCCCCTCTGCAATAGCTCTGCATAGCTCAGGCTGTTTGCATTTATGTAACACAAAGGTGGACAGGTAAAGAATGGTTTGTTTTGCTGCAGTCAACCTACCAAAAACATCCAGAGTAGCAGGGTGCTCAGAAAGCTAAATTTATTCTTCTATCATTTTATGCTCCTTGAAAAACAGATAGAATATAACAGAAAGAATAAGGGCAACACATCTAGTTCTCTCATCCAAGGGCACAACTGACCTGTGGCTGGGCAGGGGAAGGGGCATCAGGGTGCTGGATGAGGATCTGGTTCTGCTCTGGACGGGCCGTCACCATGGTGCTGGCAGTGCCCACCACCATTCCACAACCTCCATTGATTGAAGACACTTGGTGCGTCAGAGTGGCTTTCAGTCTCTGTGTGGAAAGATTATTTAAAAAGGCACAGGTGAGATTCTGTCAAGGACAGGAAGGATGAACTTTATTTTATCACTGACCTTATAGTTAAAATTCTCACCACAATTTTCTCTTAATGGAGGAACTAAAAGGAATGGCAGAAAGAGGAAGTGCCCACCTGGATCCCTAACATGCCCACTCTTGTTCTCTGGCTCCCATCTGGGGCACAGCCGGGGACTGGGGCTTGTGGCAGCAATAGGCCCCACATGGAAGCACTCTCCTGGAACCTGGCCAGAGATTGGTTACAAAGCTATTCACCACTTGGCCAGCTCTCTGCCCACTCATCCCTCCATCTGTCACCCTGGAACTGAAATGGCAAGTGTTCCATTCCAAACAATCTGTGCTGCTTCTTCCTGTGCCACGGCCTATGCCAGGCTATAGGGGTGGGGACAAGCGTCTTAGGAATCGGGGTCTTTTCCAAGCCCCACAGCAGGATGTTTTTAGCTAGCTATGCACACCTCAGAAAGTTCCTGTGTTCAGTTCGCTTGAAAAATATCTAGATACTACTTCCTTTACAAGGCCAAAATTGCTTCAGGCTGGGATGTACTCACCATCTTGGCTTCTGAAGGCAGGGGGTGGCCAGAGGGAGAAATGCAGCCACTGCTGTTACCTGGGGGGCCCGGTATACCAGGAATGTTGGGCACCATGGACACAGGTCTGGCCAGCTAAATCAAAAGAAGAAGACATGGTAGTACTGTTTTTTTTCCCCCAAATGCAGTGTTTTTGAGACTGGCACCTTAGGGCCTATTCTGTGTAACCTGCCCACAGGACACATAGGAAGAGCCTCGGAAACACCTTCCCTAAGGATTGCCACAAAGTATGAAATCTCATTCTTCAGCCCTTTTCTGCGGGAAAGGCTGGGGGTGTGTAGCTTCAGAAAAGAGGTGAGCAATGGGGAGAAGCTACAGGCCGAGTGAAGTCAACCAGTCAGCAGGTTGGCAGAATCAGCTCCTTGACTACAAGTCAACTGTCCAGATAAGTCTTTGTCCAGAGCGTCCCAGTGTGGCACTGGCAGAGGCTAGTAAAGAGCTGGGCACACGCTCACAACTGCCACAGCCAGCCCACATTTCCCTGGGGGTTCTCTGCTTGTGATCACTCAGGCGGAAGGGGTCAGTATGCCTGCAGGGCTGGCTGCCCCAATCACAAGGCTCACCGAGATGACAGAAGGCATCTGTACTGGAGGCCCTGGCAGCACGGGCATGGTCTGTCCATTAGCAAGATGCATGACGAGAGGGAGGGAGCCAGTAGGAGACCTGCAGAGACATGAAGATAACATCACAGTCACCACCTTTGGTCTTCCTCCTAAAACTAGATAATTTTTTAAGATTTATTTATTTTACGTATATGAGTGCTCTATCTGCATGTACACCTGTGTGCCAGAAGATCCCAGTATAGATGGTCACGAGCCACCATGTGGTTGCTAGGAGTTGAACTCAGGATCTCTGGAAGAGCAGACAGTGGTCATAACCACTGAGCCATCTCTACAGCCCCCAAGAAATATTTTTATATATAGTCTTCTCATTAGGGAAGGTACAGAGCAGCACTGTAAAATTTTGACATCCTCTGGAACATGGGAAAAACAGATGAAGAGAAATGACAATCTGTCTTCTAGGGATGAAACAAAAGTGCCTGAGAACACATTAGCAAGCCTGAGGAGCCTTGGTGGCTTCCTGGTGCTGAGGAAGGGCTCTACTAGTAAGCTACCTTTCCAGCCCCACAGTCTGGCAAGCTCTATACTTTTCAAATTAATTGAATTCAATAGCGGGGACCTAACTCTACCAGTAATTTAGGAAGATTAAACATCTCAACCAGCAAAAGAATGTTTCTTTTTAGGAAATAATCTCAATAACTCATTTTCTTGGGTATGCAAAAATAAATTCCTGGAGCCAGCTTCAGTAGCATATACCTGCAATCCCAGCACTCAGGAGGCAGAGCAGGGTGACGACACTCTGAGGCTAGCCTTGGCTATTTAGAAACACCATGTCTCAAAACAACAACAAATCTGAGAACAACAGCAACAGAACGGTTTCCATTTTTATCAAACAACTTCAAAGTGTCGAAAAAAATTCAGAAGGGCTGCAGAGGTAGCTCTCTATACACTGCAGAAGATCAGTTCGGTTTATAGTGCCCACATGGGGCAGCTCAGAAGCCCAGCCTAGGGATCTGCCAGCACCTCTGGCCACAGAGCTCCTGTCCATATGTGCACGTGCCCACAGGAGGTCACACAGGCACACACAGAATTTAAAAACAGTAAAAATAAATCTTAAAAAAAAAAAAAAAAGGAAATTTAGGTTTCACTGTTTTCCCCTACTCTCTGTACTTACCCCATCTGCCTGTTGGATGGTGGGGCCTGTGTGATGACAGAGGTTGGGGAAGGAAGAGTTGGATGGATCGGATCATAACCTAAGTGGAGGGGCAGGGAGCCAGGACGGACGATGGTGGGTGTAGGGGTGGAGATCACAACAGGTTTTGCAGCAACTTCCTAGGGAAAGGAGACAACAAATCGCCAAATACTTTAAGAACTGTGTATAAGGAAATACCCAATTGGTGATTTTATTGAAAGAGCATTGGCTCCAAATAATCATGCCCCAACTCCATCACAATCATGCACGAATACCTACCCATTCAGTAGGAATGATTTAAGAACATGTCACAGGCGAGATGACAACTGGAAAACCATTTGAAATCTTTGGAGACAGGCTGTACCACACAACACTACAGCATCGTGTGAACTGCGGGGATTGTCCACACTATACATACTCTCATTCTAATGATGCTCAAGTGTCCTATGACCTCCAGTTGAGAAGAAGGAAGGTGTACTGTGAGGAGACAACTGTCACTAACCAAGGTCGACAGAAGCTTACGCAGCTGCCAGACTAAAATAAAACAACGCTTCTCACGTTGACTAGTTGGGATCTTAGGCTGTGGGTGGCCACACAGGCCTTTAAAGCATCTCTAGTGCCTCCAGAACTTAGCTGTCCACAGAAAGGGGACGGAGGGAGGTGGCTAATGATTATGGAGGAGGTAGCTCTGAGAACTTAACAAGATGATGCTCTACCCACAGTAGATGTTACGTCAGCTGCTGTCAGAACAGTCGGGACTGGAAGCCGTCTGTTCAGCGGGTTTCTGAAACTCTGATATCTGGTTTTGATCTACGTGCTCATTACTAGAGATTCTTCACTTTGCGGAAAGTCAGAAAGTCCTAAATTTACACTGCATGTACCACCGAATACATGTATTATACCTCAAAGAAAGCAGTCTTTACAAATAGCCAGGAGTCAGAGAAATCTTGTCTAAAAAAAAAAAAAAAAAAAAAAAAAGTTAAAAACAGCAGCAACCAAAAGCCAATACTCTAGATATATATATGCCTTTATTTATTTCCCTCTGGGAGGATTTTTTCCTAATAGTTAAATGTCTTTTGTACTGGATAGTTTTAGGTCAACTTGACACAAGTTAGAGTTATTTGAAAGGAGGAAACTTCAATTGAGAGAATGCCTCCATAAGATCAGGCTGTAGGCAATCGTGTAGAGCATTTTCTTAATCAGTGATTGATGTGAGGAGGGTCCAGTTCATTGTGGGTGGTTCCACCCCTGGGCCGGTGGTCCTGGGTTCTATGAGAGAGCAGGCTGAGCAAGTCATGAGGAGCAAGCCAGTGAGCAGCACTCTCCATGGGCTCTGCCTCAGCTCCTGCTCCAGGTTCCTGTCCTATGAATTCCTGTCCCGATGGCCCTGATTTTCAACTGTGAGGAGGAATATGAGGCAAATGAAGCCTTTCCTCCCAAGCTGTTGTGGTCATGGTGCTTCATCATCTCGGCAACAGTAGCCCTAAGACTTGTCTAATTAATAATCATATATGATTAATAGTAAACATTAATAGCCGACATTTTCTGCAACATATTAATTACATATCATTATTTCGGCAGTTAATTATTTAACTCACTGTTGTATCAATAAAAGACACAGAACCCTGTTAGATTCTTAATATGCCTATACACTGGGGCTGGGCAGAAAATAAGCCTCTAAGCTATCTTTACCTCCTAGCCCCACACCCCACTCCAACTGCTCTAATAATCCCTAGCTGGACTACTTCCCATTCTAGATCCCATAAGCACTTGCACTTGTTTCTCATCCGGCTCCTTTCCTTCATCACTCATCCTCTCTGTCTAGTCAACAAAGACTTAAATTAATAAAAACAGGATGGAGACCATTTCCAGCACCCAAGAAGACTTTTCTGTGTCCTTTCTTAATTCACACTCTTCATTATGAGAGACACACACTATTCTGTGTATCCTTTCTCCCTTGGTCCCCTTCGTGGGGTGATCTGTGATAGCACTTGCTGTGCTGCGCAGGCTAGTCTCAGATTCTTGAGGCTCAAGCGGTCCTTCCACGCAGCCTCCTGCACAACTGGCCCTGCAGGTGTGCTCCATCACACTCTTCTAAGATCTGCCATCAAATATTTTTGCATCTTCTTGAACCTCCGTAGGTGGAACATATAGTATGTCCTTTTGTGCCTTTTTATTATTACATGTTTCTGTAATTTATGCGTCTTGCCATGTACCCCATCCATCCCTCTGTCCATCCACCCACCTACCATACCCCCCTTTTTGTGGTACTCAGGGTTGAGCCTTACATAAGACAGGCAGGTGCTCTGATGCTAAGCTCCATCCTCGGCCTGGCTCAGCAAATGCACGTGCATCATATTCAGGTGAGGGATCTTAGTGATTGTTGCTGGGAGGGAACCCAACCAAACGCTCTCCCTGAGCTGCCACCAGCCTCTCCCAGCTTATCATTCTAATCTTGGTATATCTGTGATACATATATGTGTGTGTGGCCATGTGCACACCGCAGCACACATATAGAAGTCTGAGGACACCACTGGGTCTGTTCCTCCCCTTCTACCTCATTTTGAGACAGGGGCTCTTGTTTTGCTACTGTGAACACCAAGCTACATAGCCTACAAGGGTATTTTCCCACCTTCGCGTACCTGCTGTCTCATAGTAGGAGAAGTGTGCCTTGGTAGTACATTTACCTGAGTTTTCCGGGGTCTCATGCTTGTACAGAAAGAATTTTTATTTTTATTTTTATTTTTTGAGATAGGGTTTCTCTGTGTAGCCTTGGCTGTCCTGGAACTCACGTGTAGACCAGGCTGGCCTCGAACTCAGAGAGATCAACCTGCCACTGCATTCTAAGTGCTGCAATTAAAGACATGCACCACCACTGCCTGGCCAGATGTTTTTTTTTTTTTATTTTTTATTTTAATGAATAAAATTTCTATGAACATTCTTACTTATTTCAATTGGTATACATACAAACTAATCTCTCATATTCAGAGTTGGAACTGAGATTTATGGATGGCTTAGTATGTGTAATTTATATATGTTGCTTAAGTATTTAAGCAATTCCTTTCAAACTAGGCATAAAGATATGCATGCATAGTTCTAGCACTTTGGAGGCTAGGGCAGGAGGCTGAGTTCAAGTCCAGCCTGGGGAGAGAGGGAGAGAGGAAGGAAGGATGGAAGGAAAGGGGAGAAAGGGGGGAAAAGAACATTCATTCCTTTGAATCCAATCAATCCTCATACCATTTATGATCAAAACTAATGTTTGGGATGATTCCTGACAGAGAATTTTACCTTCTCCTTCAGAGGTGGGGAGCGGGAGCTAGAGGCAGGACTTTCAGGGGGCGATGAGTCCACCTGCACTGGCTCTTCCTCCTTGACTTTGATGTCTGGTGTAGATGGCAGAGACATGTCAAGAGGTCCAGCAGCACCCTGTTAGGATAACAAACAGAGTTCAGGTTTCTGATGCTGGTGAACAGGTGAGGCCATATGTTTCTCAAAGTTCAGCCTTTGGTCAAAGCACTGAACTGCAAGTCCAAAGAAATGTGGACTCATGCTCCATGTGGACACTGGCCAAATCACTGCAGCTTCTGGGGGCTCCTGTTTCCAAGTACCTGCAAGCAGGTACTTACAATGTCTAAAAACACATGAACCAAGTGCCTGTCGATCCCAACCAGCTTTTCTGCTTACTGGAGAGCTGTGAACACTTTCTCTGCCAACCAGAACGCTTGCTTACCCAGTCAGCTAAAGCAGCAGAAACCAGACCAGTGGTTAAAGTGCTACAAACAAGACAGAAAGGATCCTTTCTAGGGAACTCGCAATGATGGGTAAGGCAGTCTGTTTAGGGCAGGAGGCTAGAAACCTCAGGCACAGAGTTTGGGGATAACAAAGAGATCAGTGAAGGAAATCACACCTTGGTCTTAGGGCAGTACTGGAGAAAGCGGAAGTGCCGACCTCTCCTGGCAGAAGTGTGTAGGTGCTCTCTGCAGAGAACAGCTAAGCATCTGAGAGAACAAGCTGCATCATGACAAGAGGCTGGCCTTGCAGGCTCTTCTCTTCCTAAGGCCTAGGCTTCTTGGTGAAAGGGGAGTTTGTTCCTATCGCTTCCTTTGCTTCCCTCCCCAACCCCAGACAGTCTCAACTATGTAGCTTAGGCTGGCCTTGAACTCATCTTTTTGCCTTCATGTCCCAAGTTCTGGGACGGCAGATGCTCACTATCATTTGCTATCTTAACCTCCAGAAGCTGGAGCAGCAAGCTAATTCAGTGTACTAAAGAGGTAGCAAAGATTCCGCTCCATCTCATGAGAGTAAGAAACACCAAAGATTTTATTTCTGCTTCACTTTTTCTATACTGCTAAAATGTCAGAGCCAATCTACCTCGTTCTGAGACCTCCGAAGACAGCACACTGATGGGAAGGGAGGCCTCTAAGAAAAACAAGCGCCCTTTAGAACCCCCCCAGGGCTATCTCCTGCAAAAGCTGTGCTTCAGGAAAGTTTCAGGCTCACTACATACCTGGAGATAAAACTCCACTCTATCTGTGCTTCTCATCAAGGGGAGGTAAGGACCACCACTGGACAGACAGAACACACCAAGGGATACACACTAAGGAAAGGCCTGGCCAATCATGAACTGGTTCCCGGAAGTATCAAGTCAGCTAAAAAATGGCAGCAGGAAAGATAAGGCCGTGAAAGGCAGGAAACAACAACAACAACAAATTTACTCTCTATCTTTATCTTATTAATGTGTGTACATGTGTGATCAAGTGTGCACAATGGTATGCGCAGAAAGAATGAAGGACTTTTTTGTTTTGTTTTTTGAGACAGGGGTTCTCTGTATAGCCCTAGCTGTTTTTTGTAGATCAGGCCTGCTTCTGCCTCCCCCCACTGCTGAGTGCTGCTGGGATTATAGGCATGTGTTCTTACTTAAATGTTTTTATTTTCTGTATGGATGTTTTTTGCTTGCTGCATGCATGTTTGTGTGTCACTAGTGTGCCTGGTGCCCAAGGAGGCCAGAGGGTGTTGGATCCCCTGGAACTGGAGTTACAATTGGGTGTGAGCCACCAACTGGGAATCCAATCCGGGGCCTCTGGAAGAACAGCAGATGCTGTATCCTGCTAAGCCATCTCTCAGGCTCACTTCCACTGTGTGGGTCCCAAGATCAAACTCAGATCATCAGTTTGGTGGGAAGTGTCTCTCCGCCTTGACTGCCCAGGAAGCCCTGTCTCTTGACTCTGTCTACAGAGTTTCATATGCCAGGCATGGTGCATCAATGTAATCCCAGCATGTGGAAGGCTGACACACAAAGGAAAGGAACTTGAGGACAGCTTAGGCTACAAACAGTGCCAGGCCATCTGGGCTGCACAGCCAGAACCTCCCTCACAACAGTAATAACGAAAGGAGGCTGAAGGTCAATGAGATAGCTTAGTGGGTAAAGGCATAAGCTTGATGAGCCAAGGTTAAGTCCCTGAATCCATGATGGAAGGAGAGAACTTACCTGTCCTTACCTCCAGACATAGGCCACGGCATGCATGCCAACACCTGTGTACACATGTACACACACACACACACACACACACACACACACACACACACAAATAAAACAAAATAAATAAAAATTAAGGCAAGAGGATTACCTCAAGTCTGAGACTAGTCTAAGCTCCACAGCAAATTACAGCTAGTCAGACTATTTAAGAAAACTTACTCCACAAACAAACAAAACCCTGAAAATAGAAATGCAAACACATGCTACTGAGTTGTCTTAATTTCTAAAGGGAGTTGGGGCTGAGAGGGCAGCTCAGGAGTAAAGGGCTTTCTGCACAAGCCCAAGGAACAGGTTTTGAATCTCTTCTATGGACACACAGAGGAACACACATACACAAATACACACACGCATGCACACAGACCCGCCCCAATCCAAAACAAAATATGTAGGAGCACTTGAGAAAGCCATCCCAACATCAACAGTGATACTTTATCTTCTACTTTCACAATTTAAGTCGAATGGCAACATCAGTTACAAATATGCTCATTTACTTGCTCTTGTGAAAACGTTTCTTCATGTGTTGAATCCTCACTTATACCAAGCAAATGTGAGGTACACGTTAACATATATATGCCGGTATAAAGATATTGGAATCTTTTTTGAAGTCTGATGCTAAATTTTTTTTTTTTTTTTTAGCTAAAATAAGTATTTCTTTCATGCCCTCGGTGGTTCTCAACCTGTGGGTTGGGACTCCTTTGGGAGGGTCAAATAACCCTTTCACAGGGGTGGCATATCAGATATTTATATTACAATTCCTAACAGTAGCAAAGTTACAGTTATGAAGTGGCCACGAAGATAATTTTGGGGCTCACCACAGCATGAGGAATTGTGTTAAAGGTCACAGCATTAGGAAGGTTCGGAATCACTGCCCTAAGTATTATCAAGTAGCACTAGGAAGCTACTTAAATGTAAAACAACACACACTGAAACAAAAAAGAGAGGAAATTCATCTGTTGGCTGTATAACTGAACAAAAATAACCCAAAGGAGTCTTTAGTTCCAGCACTCAGGAGGCAGACGCAGGCAGATGTCTACAAATCTGAGGCCAGACAGGGCTACATAGCAGTGAAACCCCTTCTCAAAAAGTTAAACAAACAAACAAACAACTGCTTTTAAACTACTTTTAAACTCTTAGTTTAAAAGCAGTGGGCCTTGTTCCTTTGTTTTCTTATGGGGGGTGAGCCCTACATGTGTTAGCACTCTGCCACTGAGCTATTATCTCTAGCACCCTCCTCTCAAAAGTATATTTGGCAAAGAAAAAAATTTTTATGGGCTAGAGAGATGGGTTAATGTTAAGAGTCCTGTTTGCCCTTCCAGAGGTCCTGAGTTCTATTCCCAATCACCACATGGTGGCTTACAACCATCTATAATGAGATCTGATGCCCTCTTCTGGCGTGCAGATGTACATGCAGTCAGACCACTCCTACACATAAAAAATAATAATAATTTTTACCTAATAACATCTGAGGAATTCATACTTTTTCTTGGTTGTTTGAATCAGTGTCTTACTCTGCAGCTCAAGCTGACCTGGAATTTACTATTAAGCCAGTCTGACCTTTAACCTACTGTAATCCTCTGCCTCAACTTTCCAATTCATATTCTTCAAATATGAATTCTTGAATTCTTTGTATTATTATTTACACGTACAACATGTGTATATTAGTGCTACAGGAAGCCAGAGGTGATCTGATACCCTGGTGTGGTTGTGAGCAGCCAGCATGGGTGCTGGGACCTGAAATTGAGTCCTCTATAAGAGCAATATGCACTTTAACCACTGAGCCATCTCTCTAGCTCCCAAGTCATATTCTTTTAATAACTTCTACATATTCACAAGGAAACAAACAGATCCCTGGGGAACAGCCAGAAATGCACCCGAGGATCTGCGTTAAGACCTCAGCACCTGTATGAAAGCCTTTCTTGCTTTTAGATGAGCCCTAAGGTAAGGCAGCTGAGGCCCAGCTAGAGAATGGCTGCTATAGCTGCTGGTCTGTCTGTTCATGGTTCAGGGGTTGCCCACCATTTCTTCTCCCTCCTGCTGTCTCCAGGGTCAGGAGGAAAGTGTGTTCTTGGGGCTCGGAGAGTCTGGCCTGAGTGAAAATTCCATGGGGTTAACTTTGAGAAAGTTATCCAGTCTTGGCTTCCTCGTGGGTAATATGCTGCTCATGGCCATACCTCCCTCACAGGGCTGTTCTGAGGGCAAGCTGGAACTACAGCAAACAGCAGGCAAGGGAGCCATTCAGTATCTTGTCTGGACTGAATGCTCTCCCACAATAAACACTTACCATTCAAAAAAAAAAAAAAAAAAAAAAGACCTCAGCACCCATATGAAAGCCAGTCCATCTTTGTCTGCAGTGCTCAGGTGGGATCAGAGATCCACAGGTCCCAAAGCTCACTGGTGCAAGCCTAACTGAATGAACAGGGTCCAGATTTGGTAAGAGATCCTGCTTCAAAATAAACGGTGGAGAGACAAGGAAGACACACGGTGGTAAATCCCTGGTCTCCACACACAGTACAGACACAGACACATACATACCACACACCACACACAGAGAGACATTAACTAATTAATTAAAATGTATTATTTAAAGCCTCACTGGAGAGCAGGAAGAGGTGAATTCTGCTGGTACATCAGCTAGATCTCTACCTGACATGAGGAGAGGTGTGGTGGCACATCCCAGGCCTCAGGACAATGAAGCAGGGGGATCTCCACGGTCTTGAGGTCAGCCTGGGCTACAGAGTGACACAGAGGCTGTCTCTAATTACTCGCCCATGCCCCTGAAAGACCTGGCTGAGTGACTAGGATTACTGAGTGTTGGCAGACTGTATGGCCCTACTCCCATAAACAGTCATGAAAACTATTTCCAGGCACAATGAAAACAGCTTACATCTTTTTCAGTCACACTTGCCTTCTTTTCATCTTCATCTGAAGCTTTCTTAAATTCATGTTCAAAGGAGCTAGCTAATTCATTGAAGAGCCCCACCTCTTCACAGTTCTTCAGGAATCTAGTTGGAGTAGGCGTTTGATCTGTGGACATAAAAAGAGAAGGAAAATGTGTTTTAGTTATAAGATTGAGAGTCACAGGGATTGTATTTTTATCCTCCTGGAGATGCAGAGTGTGTGTCAGGGTGAAGGGCTTTTTTGGAGTTTCAGCGGGTAGACGGTGGTGCTACCAGGGGAAGCCTGTGTTGTACTGTCTGTAGGGCAGCAGTGGGGAGACAGGACAATGTTTTGCAGGACTATTCACATATCCACTGTCTCTCAGTGCTGGATTTACATCTTTCACCACAATAAAAACACAAACCATTCATGAAAGCAAAGAGTCACGAAAGCTCTAGATCTGAAAATTAAAGCCAGGCTTCCCTTCTAAGTGACCCTGCTGGGCTACAGTGCGTAGACAGAAAGAGACAGTGTCAAAACCTGGCAGAGAACAAGCTGAGCATCAGACTGCTGAGTCTGCTCACTAACACTCCCTAATAAGGAATGGTGGCTCTGTGTCACTGAGCCTCAGGTCTGTTCCTTTCTGAAGCCACTGTAGGCAAAACTAGGGGCTGGGGGAAGAAGACAGCAATGTCACGAGTCAGAAAAGGAAACTACAAACAATAGGGCTTATTCTTAGAGACATGGGCCCAGAGCAGATTCCGGAAACCAGGCTACTTGGTTTAGATTTACTGGTCAAAAATCCCCACAGAGGCTGAGCAAAACCTTTTCTCAACACACTGCCTCTGATCTTTTCCTTTTTTTGGAGAAAAGCCCAGGTTATCCTGGAATTTACAGTCTTCTTGCTGCTCCCTCCGAGTGCTGGGATGACAGCAATGCTCCACAGACTCCACTCTCAGGGAGGTGACACCTCTCCACAGTGTATGGGGGCTTCTCAAGAGACATGCACTGAACTTCAGATCTTAGCTTCTCTCTCTTCCCTGCTTTTCTAAAGTGGAACCTTGATCCGGAGCCTAATTCTATTTTGATTATTTTTTTTTATATGCTCATCACCTCAAGGATTCACCTCCTATCCCAAACAACACATACAGAATAATGTTTCAATTATATTTTAAGAAAAGACCTAGGGGTTAAAATTATTCCTTTTAGCATGATTAACTGGGATTTTCCATGGAAACTTTTTTTTTTTTTTTAAACTTACACAAAAGCTCTTCTGAGTCAGCATGTTTAGAAAAGTCACCACTACCTCTTAAAATCATTTAAAAAGGTTCTCTGGAAGCTCTGGCTGGCTAAAGACAAAGCCACTTTCCACCCTCGAGTGAGGAGGGGGGACCATCATCTGCAAGGACACACACATAAATGACGGTAGGAGAAGACCTCCCAGACTGGCGCTCGGACTCACGCACGCTTCTCCACCTGCTGCCTCTGCTCATACTTGGCTCAGGTTTGAAACCTCCGCTGTACTTAACCCGATTCCTCCTCTTCCAGGTGGTCTCTAGCCTTCAACTGCTTCTGGTTCCTGAACAAACAATCTGAAATATCTAAACAAGCCTGGTGTGTTCTCGTGAATCCTAAGTGTTTACTGAACACTTCTGTATGCTCTGGTGTTACACCCAGAAACCTGGAGAAGAGATAACGGTACAGGCCAAATATAAGGCATAGGCTTTTCCATAGAGAATTTTTTTGTTTTTTGTTTTTTTTTTTTTTTTTTTTGGAGGGGGGTTGTTTTGAATATCTATCTATCTATCTATCTATCTATCTATCTATCTATCTATCTATCTATCTATCTATCTATCTATCATGTATAAACTGTTCTGTCTTGGGTAGCACTTAATTTTTGCGCAGTGTGGTGCTGACTACATATGCTAGTTTTATCTCCTTAACTGAAAAGCGTTCTCTTACTTTTCTATAGAGGCCTGGGGAGACGGTTCAGAGGTTAGGAGCATTGGCTGCTTCCAGAGGCCCTGAGTTCAACTCCCAGCAACCACGTGGCGGCTCACAGCCATCTATAGGGAGATCTGCTGCCCTCTTCTGGTGCACAGGCACACATGCAGACAGAACAGAATTATTTTAAAACTACTAGGACTGTGAGGGAGACTTCACACAGGGCTTGAGCTAGGCCTCGGAAAATGGTTTTGGAGTGCAGAGAAGAGAGGCTTTAAGATCTAGGAAGAACAATGGTGGTGAAGGCACAGTGGGAATGCGGCAGGAAGAAAAGGACTGCTGTGACTTGTACGCAGTTAATGCTGCGCCCCTAGGCCTTGGTGGTAAGGGACCTGTAGGAGCTAGAACCCAATGGGAAGTTTTAGGTCACTAGAAGCGTTGCCTTGAAGGAAACTGTGGGCCTTGGGGAACTCCTTTGTTCTTCCACACGTTCCACTATAACGTGATGCTTCACTGAAGGTCCCAAAGCACAGTGACTACTTGCTGTGGTGTAGCTGAGGATGGGCTTCAACTGCAGCTTTTCTTGCCTCTACTTCCCAAATGCTAAGATTATAGGCAGGTACCATCATACCCTTTTTCCATTTACAAGTTGATTTTTCTCAAGTATTGTTCAGTGATAGGATACTGGTTGATTCATCGAAGGGCCAGAACTGAAAGAACTGGGAGAAAACCAGTGGAGAACAGACAGAAGATGCTTCAGGAGACATGCACATCACTGACATGAAGATCTGAACTAGAGCCAGTGCAGTATGTTCAACAGGGGCTGGGATATACTTGGCATACCTATACTATGTCTTAGGAGACAGACCCACTGGTATTAGTCCGAGTACTCCAAAACTGAATGAAAAGTAGAGAACATTTTCTTTGCCAAGCACAGTGGTATACACTTCTAATCCCAGTTTCTAGGAAGTAAATGAAAGACAACCTCAAATTCAACGTGACCCTGAGCTAGTGAGCTCCAGCCTCAAAAGGTGCAGATGGCTGGCTGACTCAGCAGCCCCCCATGCTGCTCTTCAAGGAGACCCCAGGTTAGCTCCCAGCACCCACAGAAGGCAGCTCACACCAGTAACTCCAGCTGCAGCAGATCTGACTCCCTCTCTGGCCTCCATAGGCATCTCACTCACATGCACTCCCCCTCTCGTAATATTTTTATAAAATAAGCATAGCAGGGCATGGTGGTGCATATCTTTAACTCCAGCATTCAGGAGACAGAGGCAGGTGGATTCCTGTGAGTTCCGGGCCAGCCTGATCTACATATTGAGTTCCAGGCCTGCCAGGAGCTATACAAGAAGACCCTGTCTTTAAAAAAAAAAAAAAAAAGAAAATCAATGATAATGTCCATGCTCATATCCTTTTTCAGAGATTACAAATCACAAATCTATAGCTCCAGGAAAAGCGACTAGCCCACACAGCAGGAGAGTGGATATTCAATAAGCACTGAATTAACAAGGAGGAGGAAATGTAAAATTACAAGTCTTTTTCAAGGTTCTGTTTCCTTTTCCATGTGTAAGGTAACATGTTTGTAAGTAGTAATAATGAAAGTTATAAATTAACTAGTTTATTAATTGATGTAATGACCATCACTAAATGCACTACTGATTAAATATTGAGCTAAGTCTGCTTGGCAAAGGTTAAACCGGAAGCTCTTACACCATCAAAGGATTAAAGGAAAAAGCTCATTCTGCTTTGCACATCTGTCTAGCTGCAAACTGTACAGAAGAAGGATTGCAGGGCTGGAATTAAGTGCTAAGACTGTGCCCTGAGTACAGCGCAGACAGTATCTGCAACTGGGAAGAGGCTCCAGGTCACACGGCTGGTTTAGGAAAGTCCCAGTGGCTAAACATCTTATCTGTTTTTGGAAATGTGCCCTCAACAGTGTCTGGGTTCACAAGGGAAGTTGGTTTCTGAACTGATAATCTGCCTGCTGGAGGAAAACGGAGCCCAGTGGAAGAGAAGCAGCCAGGCCAAGGCAGCTTTTCTGCCTTCTTTTGTTCACCTCCTCCACTGTGGATGAGGTCAATAGTGTCTTCTGTCTGTAGCTCTTCCAAAGTCTGAATAAACAGAAGGCAAGGAGAGACTAGAATGATAAAGCGAGGACAAAAATCTATCCTCACAAGTGTGCTATTAAAAAGAGACTGGAGAGGTGCAGTAGGAATGCGGAGCTGCTGGTGCTACTTCTTGGCTAAACGCAGATGACAAAAGTGGTCCTGACAGGAGAAGGGCAGTGCAGATCCCAGGACATCTGGGCCCTGGTTGATCTTCACTGTTCAGTGAGAGCAAAGCGTGTGACTTTGGGGGCAGCAAATACCTGCAATGATGACCGAGTCCGTTCGAGCTGGGCCAAATTTCAGGGTCATCTCATGCTTGTGTTTATGAACTGCCAGGTGGTCCTCGTTTGTAAATCTCTGAAACGAAACAGAAATGGAGATATGAAAAAGGAAGGGGGGGGGAACCTCCTCCGTTCAGTGCTCTTTTAAAATGGCCTACCAAACAGAAACATGTTACAGTGATGCTGGTCCCTGGAAAGAGGGAAAGAGAAAAGAATAGAAAGAGGAAAAATGATGGAAAGGCTAGAAGAGATGAAAAAGACTGCACTGTAGGGAAGCAAGGAGAGCGATCACGTCACCAGGTGCAAACGACTGTAGACAGATTGCTGCTGAGGTAGGGTCTAGGCATGAAAAGAACATTAAGGTTAACTTGTAGTGAACAGGGGTAAACAATGTTTAATAACAGTAAGGAGAGAAGGGAAAGGCTGGCGCTCAGTGGTCATCACAAAACTAGGAAATTTCAGAGCGAAGCTCTCTGCGGTGGGGCTGAGAACTGGAGTATTTTATGAGAGGGCTAACAGGGAGATAAATTATGCAGGATTAGGAGACCCATTTAGCTTCCTGGCCCCTGCAGTGCGGCAGCAGGCGCCTTTGCGGCTATTTGGCTCACAGTTTTAACGAGCCAGGATGGAAGTAGAGATGACAGAGGCCCAGTGGCCAGCAGTAACAGCCCACACTAGCCCCATTGGCCAAATGCTGTCTCCCTTCATCAGGCAGCCTGCCTGGGCTCCAGCAGCCATAAAGGAGCCAGCGCAATGCTGGCTGTGTAATGACAAAATAAAAGCGCAAGCAAGAAAGAAAAAAAAAAATGAAGAGTAGAGAGAAGCCTGCAGGTAGGATGAGAGAAAAAGAAATATACATCGATTTTGTATAGAGGTTTAAGTGAAAGAACAATGAAGAGGTTAGGCAAGGTCCGGGCAATGATGTACGCTGCTGCTGCTCTTTTAAAAGAGGAGGCGAAAGCAACACACGAAAAGCAGGAACTCCAAGCCCCTTTGAGGTCACTGGCCCTGTCCTTCTTTCCTTAGAACATCCCCTACCACAGAAAAGGCCTGAAGGCCGCAGAAAGGCTCTGAAACATGTTCTTGTTGTCTTGTTTGTAAAAAGTGACTGCTTAGTTTCTTGTTTTTACTTTGTTCATTAGATACATAATATGCCTCTAAAAATACTTTTTTTTAATACTTACCACCAAACACCACAGCTGTATCACCTGTTCCACAGCCCTTTACAAAATAAATAAAATAAATACACAGGAACTGATCCCATCCTAGCGCCCTTACGGTCAGGTAACAGCATCAAACCAGTCTTGTCTCCCAGATTTTACCCATATTTTAAAACTTTTTAAATTGTAGTTTATGTGTCTGGGTGTTATGTTTACATATAGGTCTGTGTACCATGTGCATGCCTGGTCACAAGAGGGCACAGAGTGTTAGATCCTCTGGAAGTGTAGTTGCGAGCTGCCATGGGGTACTGGGAATTGAACTCGGGTCCTCTGGAAGAACAGGCAGTGTTCTTAACCTCTGAGCCTACCTCTTCACCCAATTCATGACAGAGGCCAGCATTAACAACTAAGATCCTTCCAGGTAAGGCATGTAGGTCTGCAGAACATGGTTCGAGTAGAAACTCTGTGCAGAGCTTTTTCAGTTGCAGATCTGCCCCTAAGGGGTGGGGCAGGAAAGAAATAGTCTGTTTACTGGGTTACCTAAGTCACTGTGCAGGATCTCGGTCTGGCCTATATTTGAAAAAGGAAATCAACTGAACCTAGTTGGCAAAGGAGAAAACAACTTTCTTTTATGGTGGATATGAAGAAAACTAGATTAAATAGGCTTGTAGATACCAGTAATGCTATAGTATGGTAATCATTTTAAAAAGCATTTTCATAAACTGGATATGGTAGCAAATACCTCTGATCACAATAGAGGCAATAGAGGCACACATATCTCTGTGAGCTGAAAGCTAGTCTGGTCTATATGCAAGTTCCAGGCTAGCCAGGGACACATAGTCTTAAAAAAGAAATATTTTTAGGAGCACTTAAAATTTTATGGAGGCTTCTTGAAAAAAAAAAAAATTGCACAGTGTTCCAGAACCAGGATAAATAACTTTTAACCAAGAAGGCCTCTTCCATTATCAGAAACCTAGTTTGCTCAAAAATGGGCTGAGAAGTCAGGTATAGTTACATATGCTTTGGTTCCAGCCCTAGGATCTAAGGCAGGCAGATCTTTGTGAATTGGAGGCTAGCCTGATCTACATGGCAAAGTTAGTCTAGGCTACTAGGGCTATCTAGAGAAATCCTCCTCCCCACTACTCCAAAAAAGTTGAGAGACAGATTTTAAATTTCTATCAGATTTTTCTCTGGGTCAAGGCTTTTCATTTTCTCTCATTCAGTCCTGCTTCCCTGTCCCTGTGTGCAGGTGCGCCTGCGCCCGTGTGCCCGTGCTGGGCTGGAATGAAACTTGGAGCCGTGCCTAAGCTAGGAAGAGCACTTTACAGTGATGCCCAGCCCTCTATGTGCTTTAGTCTATGGATTTAAAAACAGTACTCTGAGCCCAGGGTGGTGATGTTTGCCTTTAGTACCAGCACTTCAGAGACACAGGCAGATGGATCGTTATGAGTTCAAGGCCAGCTAGGGGAGGCACCATGTTGAAAAGCTCAAAAACGGACAAAGCATTCTGTTTCTAGTTTGGACAGGAAGTGTCCCCCTACAGGCTCGTGCGTGCATTACAGGGAAAGGCTCTGCCTTAAACCAGAGAATTAATTAACACACTGATGGGTGCATACCCTGATGGCATTTCTGGGAGGTGAGGAGACTTTCAGCAGTAAGGCCTTGCTGAAGAAAGGAGCTGCACCACTGGGCTGTATGTCATCACAGACCTCTCTGTCTCCCAAATACAGCTGAGGGGAGCAGCGCTGCCTTCTCTGCTAAGATGCTCCTTCTCACTACAGCCCCACAGTGATGGGATCAGCTGACCAAGCACTGAGACTACAAGCCAAACAGATGTGCTGCTCTTCTTAACACTTGGATACTGAAGGAGGTTTGTGGCCTTCACCAAACTTCTCAGAGTTAAAAAAAAAAAAAAAAAAAAAGCAAAACCCTGCAACAAAATATAGTACCCATCAGGAAGAGGAATCCCTGGGGCTAATTTTAAGCAGGGAACCAGCCCGGCCTTGACTCATCACTTGCTGGTGCTGTTTCTGACATAGTTCTTGTCAACTGAGGTAGGAGAAGTAGCTTTGACGAAAGCTTCTTGAAAGGGAGTGTCAACCTGGCTATTTTGTTTATTTTGAGACAGGTTCTCACAGTATGCTTTTGGTTGGCCTGAATTTGCTCTGTAGACCAGGCTGGCGTCTCTCTCACAGAGATCTGTCTGCCTCTTACTCCTGCGTGCTGGGAAGAAGGGTGCACAGCAACATCTGGCTTCTGGCTGTGGTGTTTGCTTGCTTACTATTTGTTTGTTTGTTTGTTTGTTTCAGACAGGGTCTTTCTACAAAGCCCTGGCTGTCCTGGAACTCATTATTTGGCCAGACTGGCCTCAAATTCAGAGATCCAGCTGCCCCTGTCTCTCCAGTGCTGACATTAAAGGTAGGAAGCAGAGAACAGATCTGTATGAAGCCAGCCTGGTCTAGTTATCGATTTCCAGGCCAGGCAGGGCAGCACAGTGAGCCCCTGTGTCCATCATCATCACCATCATCCTTTTATTTTCTCTCATTTTTAGTTAATTAATTTTTATGCATATAGGTGTTTTGCCTGCTTGTACATCTGTGTATCATATGCATGGGTGATGCCTGCAGAGGTCAGAGAATGGCATTATGTGCTCTAGGACTGAAATTACAGATGGAACTGGATCTGAACCTCACAAGAGCAGCCTGTGCTCTGAGCCACTGAGCCTTCTCTCCAAGCCTCCTTCCTTTCATTTCCTACAATTTACTTCAGGCCAGAGGGTACAGCTTTGTGGTAGAGCGTCTGCCTAGCATGCATGAGACCCTGGGTTTTCTCCACCACTGAAAAACATCAAGATCAGTCTGGCAACCAAAGCCCCTGCCCCACGGACTCAGCTCTCAGCTTCATGCTCAGGAAACCATTTTTCTGAAAGGAATTTCTCAAGTAGTAAAGATTATTAATAAATAGCAATATATTGGGGCTTACTAAAATGCTGATTATTCTACCAAATTTAAAATGAGTTGAGGGACTCTCCAAAAGATTTTCTTTTAAAATTATCTAAACATCTACTCCCTACTCCTACTGTCCATAGTCTTAGTAGGCTTCCTTTAATTCTTTGATTAAGATTTCAGTAGAGAGCACTCAGGGAAAAATCTGACTGCAGGATAATTATTTTCAATAAATACACACATACTCTCTCCTAGGAAGAAAGCGACGGCATTTGAAGAATGGGTCATGTTAGGTCAGGAAGGCAATTTATTGTCTTAGTGTACAACCTGGATGAAAGCTTAGAGGAGTCTTAACTGCTTAAGTACATGAATGAGAATAGTTTCTCGGCTAAAAACGGGGGGGCGGGGAGTTATATGCTAATTTTCGCCCCCTCCAGAAACCAAGATCCTTTAGGTCTGACCTATAGTACAAAATGTTGTGCATGGCTACAGTGCACTTGCACTGTGACTTAATTTTTTTTTTTTAAATGAAAAGGTCTCACTGTGTAACCCAGGCAGGCTTAAATTTCCAAGCCTTTTGCCTCGTCAGCAACCTGCGTGCTGGGAGCACAGGTATATGCTCTCACACCTGGATTTACAATGCGGCTAATCTGAACCAAATGTACTCAGTGCACAGCACTACAGAAGCATTCCATAGCCCAGTATTTTTTATACTGATTACATGTTTAAGGTACGGGGTTGTGGGTGACCCCACATAGGTACTGGGTCCTCTGCAAGAGCAGCATGCACTCTCAACACTGAGCAACCTCTAGAGCTCCCTAATTACATGCTGAAATGATACTCTCTTTTTAAAAATTTATTTATTTATTATTTATGCAGCATTCCGCCCTCATGTACACCTGCAGACCAGCAGAGGGCACCAGATCTCACTATGAATGGCCGTGAGCCACCATGGGAGTGCTGGGAATTGA